AAAAAAAAAAAAAAAAAAAAAAAAAAAAAAAAAAAAAATCGTGGTATTTTGTGGTTCTTTACATATATGATAATTAGTAAAAATATCAAAATATTTTTATTGACTAATAATGTTGACCATTGTTGTTAAACATTCTGCTGTCAGCAACGAAAGCGGGTGTTTTTTATTTACTTATAACATCAAATAGATTAAGTACGGATACAACAAAATGGAAAAAGAAAATATTGAAACTTTATGAGAAATACATTTTTATATTTTGTGACAACACTGCTGAGAATTCATAGAGTTTCAAACGGATATTGGTAACATTGGTATGATAAAAACGCTAACAGTACATTATAGCCTGTATCATTCAGTTTAAGAAGATGCTTGGTTTCTTCTTAACGTGTTAAATAACTGAGCGTATATGTACGTGCTAGACACATCAAAGAGAAAATTCCTTACCAGCATCAGATGAGAGAATTCAAGGGATAAAATAAACACCTTTTAAAAATATTCGGAGCGTTTCATTTAGGTATTGCTAATACTCAGCTTTCAGTATTTCTGTCGTCTCTTTAAAGATTAGAAGATTTATTAGCTGAACTTATAAAATTAAAGCTTTGAAGAGGGACTATGAAGAATGGAATAACTTTTGAGTTTACCAAAGTTCATGGCTCATCTTTTATTCAAAATAACATTGTATAAAACTTTACTTATGAAAATACTCAGATGTAAGCAGGCAGGGTGAATTTTATAAAGGAAAGCTTATAATTTAAGGCCAGAAAAAATATTTATAATACAATCAAGCCTAGATTTAATCTCGCTAGAGGGGTCTGCTGTTTTTCCACTTTCCTTTCTAATTGTACATCGAAATTTGTGTCCAATATTTTACAGTTGTATTTACTGAAAGAAAGCTACAAATAAACTGGATTATTTAATAGGATGGCTCAGTTCGGTAAATGCTGATTTTGTATTTGGTTCCTGAATACAATCCTTCACATTTATATCATACAGATATATATATATATATATATATATGCAGCTCGACTCTAAAAACGTCTGGGGAAAAGAGAAGAATTCACTTAGGGCCACTTTCCGTATAGCTCACTAACTCATGTGGATAAACTCAGGGAGATCCGAAGAACAAAAAACGCTACCATAGCAACCAGAAGTTTGCTCTAGTCCTAGTTTCAACATGTTTGAAACGGTATAATAGAAACCCGAAGTTTGCTGTAATTTTAGTTTCTACATGTTTAAAACGATATGATAAATATTCTAATGTTATTAGTAAGTATTCTATTTTCATAAAGGGTAAGCTACTTACATAGATCACAACTAAAAAATATATAGAGAGCAATGAGCACAGCCAATTAGAATATGTTCAAACCGTGTTAGTTATAATAATGATAATGCATTGTTTCATCAGTTGGGTACCCTCACTGTTAACTATATTTTCGGCCGTAAACCCAATAATATTTGATGAGATACAGCCAGCCCAGAAGGATTAGGTTAGTCTGAAGTCCATAAACTAAGCTGAAAATTCAGAACTATTATTATAATAAACATAAACTTAAATTGAAAGAACGAAAATTAAAGTACATATGTTGAATATTCTAATCAACACTGTGGTAAAGTTTTCACTTATTTAGACCGATGTCCAAGTAAAAACAGTTGGCTTGTACATGTTTAAAAGATAAAGGTACAAACTCAAAGTCTACCGTAATCTCAGTTTCTACATGTTTGAAATAGTACAATAGAGCCTCGAAGTTTAATGTTTGAAAAGATACGACACAAACCCAAAGTCTACTGCAATCTTAATTTCTGCGTGTTTAAAACGCTACAACAGAAACCTAAAATTTAAAGTTATTTTGTACATGTTTAGAAAGACAGAGCATCAGACCAGGACATTTTCGCTCGGAAAAGGTAACTACAATCAATTAACTCGTATTCATTACTAGTACACGTCACTGTACATTAATTAATAAGTCATATGTGAGCACATTATTATGATATATTCACTCGATTGTAGTTTTCCTAGATGTTTTAAAAGTTATTTTAAAAGGCATTTCAAGGCATTAGAAATCTTTGCTTCTGAGCTACTTGTTTTTATTATTATTAGCTATATTGGTACTTTATTTCAGTTTTTGATTTGTATATGAAACCTGAAGTTGGGGGAGACGCAGAAGCTAAACTGGACCCTAATCTTAACTTCTACATGCGTGAAACGATATAATATAAATCAGAAGTTTAATGTTAGTTTGTATAAATAGATAGAATGTTTGAAAGGAAAGAGTGCAAACTCAAAGTCTACTTTAATCTTTATTCATACGTGTTTGAAACGATACAATAGAAACCGAAAGTTGAGTGTTATTTTGTAGATGTTTGAAAAGGTACAATAAAAACCTAAAGTTTAACGTTACTTTGTACACGTTTGAAAAATAGAGCACAAACCCAAAGTCTACTATAATCTTAGTCTTGACTTAGACATATCTTAGTTTCTATATGTTCGAAACGATAAAACAGAAACCTGAATATATATATATTACTTTTTACATGTTTGAAAATGTATATCTTCATCTCTACGTGCTGGAAATGATGCCAC